GTCTCATACAAAATATATATATATATATATATATATATATATATATATATATATATATATATATAACTATTGTTATATATATTGTTATATACTATTTTTATAGAAAACTATTGTTAACAGAAAACGGCAAGGTTACTTGTTAACATACAGGCCTATAACTGTACATCATATGATACTATTATGATAAAAATGTTTGACAGTAATTTCTTCATTTTTATAAGGAGGTATGTAAAATGAGTCCATGTCATTAAAATTAAAAGAAGATAGAAATGCCTGAACTGATTAAAGACAATAAGCCTATAACAATATATGGTTTATCTATGTTCTTCACGCCATCTCGGGCGTGAGATGAGCAGCATTTACTACTGCCGCTGTGAATATATTTATTTATTTAAAAATCGCAGCTTTTGGGATTGTCATAATTGCATCAAGCCAAATCGCGATTTCGGTTCGATTTCGATTAATCGTGCACCCCTATGTAGAACTATGCATACTTTGCAGATACTTTGCAAAAAAAGGCACACTGATTATGATATTTTCTTATTAATTAGCACTTTACTGCCTTATATTTTTCTCACTTATTTATACAATGTTAATGTCTATGTTGAAAGTGAAAATGTTTAATGGTGATGGAAATACATTGATAAAAAATACTGTATCTTAGTGAAGACAATGTATGTTATATGTGAGAGATTATAACAGTTAATTATTACATAACTCAAGTCTATAATGTTTATATATACATAAGTCTATGGTACATTTACATATACAAATATACAAAGTATTTAAACATAATTCCATAAATCTCTAAGAAACTCTGTTCAATTAAATCTTTTGCATTTTCAGTTCATTCAGTGTGTCCTGAAATACCTGGGCTGTTTCTCTCATTGCATTGATGAGTTTCAGTGTGTCTGATCTGATCTTTTGTTGTTGATTTTGGATCCCAGCTGCTCTCTGGTGGTTGATTTCACCTCTTTAGCATCTTTCACAAAGAAGATGACGAGGGCGAGAGAGAGACCAGACAGCACACCTGTAATCGCAGCAGTGACTTTCACAGTTTTAGAGCAGTGATTCTACCAATGTTTGCGACAAGCCCAATTCTCACGAGTTCAGATATTCCAGTCAAAGATTTTGCTCCAGTGATTCCAGCTTATGAAAAATCAGCTGCTGGGAACTGAGGTTCCAAAGCCTTTATTTCTTCAGCATTGTCCTGTATGTCCTTACTTTAATTAGACAGTTTAATTAGACAGACACTATGTCCTTGTTTTTAACAATTCCATTACATGAAGATTTGCACTTATAGTACTTGTACACAGAGCATGCATAAACATTTTAGATAAATATACAACAGAACATATTTCTATTTTAACCCTAAACATGCAGTATACTATTTGAGTATGTACCCTGATTAGGCAACATTTATAGCATCTGTCATAATTTACAATTCTTATTTTAAATGATATTGCTCAGAGGCATATTCCTAGTATGAAGTATGTAAAATTTTGTATCTAAAAATGTATCTAAAAATTTTGTGTGAGGGGCAGATTTAGGATAAGGGTTGAGAAAATACAGTTTTTGTACAGAATAAAAATAATTATGTCTATTGAATGTCCCCATAAAACTTGGAAACCCAATGTTTGTGTGTGTGTGTGCGTGCGTGGATACACATACACAAGTGTATGTCAATTTGACTGACAAGAACTGACAGCGCAAGAGAAGTGTCACATTTTAAGACAGTCTTATCATCTAAACATTGTCTTATCTAAATATCTTTGACAAAAAGCCCCTTAGAGAAAATATGGTGTCCAAAGAGAAAATGGTGTCAAGACCCAGCGACCTGATATGTTCATATTCCATTATGAGCTCTTCCAGAATTTTTTGAGAACTGTGAATAGGTTGTTCTAACAGCAACAATATAAGTCTTTCAGCCAGGTTCACATCTCCTCCACTGCGCTCGGCTCTTTTTACATATACAAATATACAAAGTATTTAAACATAATTCCATAAATCTCTAAGAAACTCTGTATAGTAGTTAATTTTCAATTAAATATTTTGCATTTTCAGTTCATTCAGTGTGTCCTGAAATACCTGGGCTGTTTCTCTCATTGCATTGATGAGTTTCAGTGTGTCTGATCTGATCTTTTGTTGTTGATTTTGGATCCCAGCTGCTCTCTGGTGGTTGTTTTCACCTCTTTAGCATCTTTCACAAAGAAGATGGTGTTGAGGGCGAGAGAGAGACCAAACAGCACACCTGTTTTATCGCAGCAGTGACTTTCACAGTTTTAGAGCAGTGATTCTACCAATGTTTGCGACAAGCCCAATTCTCACGAGTTCAGATATTCCAGTCAAAGATTTTGCTCCAGTGATTCCAGCTTATGAAAAATCAGCTGCTGGGAACTGAGGTTCCAAAGCCTTTATTTCTTCAGCATTGTGCTGTATGTCCTTACTTTAATTAGACAGTTTAATTAGACAGACACTATGTCCTTGTTTTTAACAATTCCATTACATGAAGATTTGCACTTATAGTACTTGTACACAGAGCATGCATAAACATTTTAGATAAATATACAACAGAACATATTTCTATTTTAACCCTAAACATGCAGTATACTATTTGAGTATGTACCCTGATTAGGCAACATTTATAGCATCTGTCATAATTTACAATTCTTATTTTAAATGATATTGCTCAGAGGCATATTCCTAGTATGAAGTATGTAAAATTTTGTATCTAAAAATGTATCTAAAAATTTTGTGTGAGGGGCAGATTTAGGATAAGGGTTGAGAAAATACAGTTTTTGTACAGAATAAAAATAATTATGTCTATTGAATGTCCCCATAAAACTTAAAAATGCGTGCGTGGATACACATACACAAGTGTATGTAAATTTGACTGACAAGAACTGACAGCTCAAGAGAAGTGTCACATTTTAAGACAGTCTTATCATCTAAACATTGTCTTATCTAAATATCTTTGACAAAAAGCCCCTTAGAGAAAATATGGTGTCCAAAGAGAAAATGGTGTCAAGACCCAGTGACCTGATATGTTCATATTCCATTATGAGCTCTTCCAGAATTTTTTGAGAACTGTGAATAGGTTGTTCTAACAGCAACAATATAAGTCTTTCAGCCAGGTTCACATCTCCTCCACTGCGCTCGGCTCTTTTTGCATTGTCTTCTGCATAAAGCAGTGCAAATTTTTCAGCCAAGTTCACATCTCCTCGTTTGATTTCACCCCTCTTTATAAAGTCTTCTATCACAGCAAGGGCAAGTCTTTCAGGCAGGCTCATATCTCTTCTAATTATAGCCCTCTTCAAAGAGTCTTCGGCCAAAAAAATTGTATGTTTATCCAATAGACTCACATTTCCTCCTCTGCTTTCAGCCCTCTTCAACTTCATTACAGCGTCTTGAATGTTATCCTTGAGTTGGTCTACAATCATACACTTCATTTGAAACTGTTTACTGAGCAAAGTATCACCTTCTGTTGTCTGCTCTCGTCTTGATGATTTCACACAAGTAAGAATATGTGCCAGATGTGACTTGTATGAATTTATTGCTTTGTTGGCCTTTTCCAAATCAGCCAATGCTTGAGCAATGTAGTCAATGTCTTTCTTCATAATAGTGGTCAGTGCACGATTATAGAGAGGAATAATCTCCCCAGATGCACCATCCTCCAAAGCTTTGGTGAACATCTCAATACTTTCAGTAAGGTGTCCCTTCTCACGGAGATTGTTCCCAGACCTAATGTAATAGTAGACCATGGTGGATGGGGACTGTTTGCACAAAAGTTTCTGCTTTGCACTCAACAAGTCCATCATCAGCTGTTCCTTCAAGGAACTTTTCTCAGTGGACTTTTCCTCATTGAAATACATCAGAAGCCACAGACCCCAGCACTCATGAAGAGAGGACACAATTACGTCACGCTGGTCTGAAAAAACAGCATCTTCATAGATGTTGTCCAAAACATCAAGGTAGACAGAAAAAAGCTCTTCCTTTTCTATGATTTCTGGAATGTCTTTTTCAAGGAACCCAGAGAGTCTATTTTTCACCCCAGTGTTCCTGGCATCTTTTGCCTTTTCCAGATTACTTGAATTTGTGGTTAAGAGGTCTGTCAGAGCAGAAACCATCGCATCATGATTTTGAGAGCTGCTATTTTTCTGGTAGTGATTAACTGCTTCTTCAAACACACTCTCTTTTGTCATCTGTTTTGTTAAGTTATCTGGACAGCTGTGTAAACTGGTTAGTGATGTGTTTAGGCTCATCACTAGTTTAACAGAGTCAGAGAGATGACTGGCACACATGATGATTTGAGCAGATCCTGGACTCCCTTGACGAGCCGTTCGTCCAAATGCTTGCTGTTCGACACGGACGTTCAGAGGTAAGAAGGTTTGCACCACAAACAGACCTCCAGCCTCATTTACACTTTCACTGACCTTTAGGTCTGTACCTCGACCTGCTAGATTAGTTGCAATGATGACGTCCCCTGCTTGAACTTTATTATATATTATCTTAGAGTTATCCATGTTGTTATTCACATAAAGTTTTAGTTTGTCTTTTGAAATGGTGTCTGCAAGAGTCTTGTGAAATATTTCTGCACGATTGATGGTTTCACAGATGACAAGAGCTGCTCGTGGACCTCGATAAACTGTGGAGGTCACTT